CCCCAAAACCCCAAAACCCCATGAATAGAATTTATTAAAAAAATAAAGTTTTTGTTAAATATTAATTAATATATGTAAATAATTCAACAAACTAACTTAAAAAATCTTTGATGATTTGTATTCACAGAGCATAAGAATTATCGGTTTCTATATTAGTTTTTCCATACATATTAGTCTTTTATTTATGATTATTATGATTAACAACATGCGGATTACTTTCAGAAATGTTCTTTTACAATTCCAATCCAACTAATGTCTCTTTCTTTTGAATTATGCTGATATCATTTACTTCTAGCTCTGAAATATAAGAAACATCATAATTGGCTTATTTAGGCTAGAATGTCCTGCGATATGGCCAGTAGAGGAAAAAGTAGAAGAACAAATTCACAGAGTGATACTGAAGAACTCTGCCTGTGATTATGATAATTGTCACGTAAATTTAGAAATTATGGCCATGTTAATTCTACAGAAATACATACACATAGATGTCAAGGATCATCATAATTGCTATTGTGCTAACTGAGGTGATCATAAGCAAAAATAGCTTCGATCTTCTAATTACTAACTGCTCTTAATACACTCTTTTAAATTGCTTCTTAACGTCTTGACCTGGATTCGATAGGTTCACTGCTGAAGACTATCTGTTATGGAAGGGATTTTAGTTTACTGGGGGAGGCATATAAGACTCCAGCGAAAAGTCTAAAAGCTATCTATTGCTTTTCAAGTCAACACTACTTCTTCTCATAATCAGTTTAAACTGGTTCTTGCTATTTTCAGATTGCCATTGGGGATCCTTTTTAATCAATATGCAAGTCAATAGGAAGGTGACTACAGATATCACTGATTAAAATATGGAAATTATGATCCATATAAAGCTTTTCTCGTAAAGGAATTCATAAGTGTTTTTGTAAATGACAACTGCGATCATTACAATGATGGCTAATACGCAGCTACCCAGAGTAATCCAAAATGACTTCATTAGAGGCAGATTCTGAAGTGTAAGTTCAACCAAAATAAAGCAAATAGTCACTTGTTCAAGCATTTTGACTATTCTAATGATAAACAGTAGAATATATTGCTCAAAGAAGATGTGATAGAGAAGAGCAAATATAGATTCTGTTAAGGCGATACTTAGCAATAGTTTGTCCCTCACATCCAAGTCGACCGAATTCTTCTTTTTAATTCTCTTTATTGCCTGCGAATACAAAGCTACGAATATCAAGCTAATCCCTCCTATCACATATTTATTAAGGCAGTCGTAGACATTTTAGCACATATAAACATCTTCCCAAAAGGTTTCATATCTGCTTAGATCATTAGTTATTACCATAGTTTTAATTTAATACCTTTAAATTCTTATTCTTTTGCTGCTAATTTATTATTAAACTCTTATTAATGCAAGCAAATTCAAACTCAAGGGGTTTTGGGGTTTTGGGGTTTTGGGG